CGTGTGAGGTGTGACACGAGTCGTGTGACATAAAATTCTTCCTAGTTTTTCCAATGCCACTCTCGCATTTTTCACATGAGTCGTGTGAGTAAGCCACACGAGTCGTGTGACTGATCAGTGATCAGAAAAGAGCTGTTTTGACTTAATATGAGTCATTACTACATCAACATATTAAATTAGTTAATTTATATGGTTGATTTAGGGATGATCATGAGCCTTTTATTCATAATGATGAATGATTGCATTTTTATTCAATATGATTGATGGTTGCATTTTTATTCAATGTGATTGAACGAATGTAATTTATCGAGACCTGTGAGTCTCTTGACTTATGATTTGTAAAATTTTAATTTTTGTATCGTTAAAAGATTACATCAAGGTGGAGACTGTTCGATGCAAAAGGCCCACGCATGTGTGGGTAATTTTACAAGTTGTAAATTTTGAAGGCCTGTGCATGTACGAGTAGATAAAATAAATTGTATAAGAAGTAGTTCTATTTATTTTATTACGTACAGAGGCATATACCCATTTTGGCTCGAATGGGTCGTATAGGCAAGGTCATGATCATCCCACTGTATGCATGCATTAGATGTATGTTAGGTTTATTTATGCTTGTGATTCATGCGATGAATAATGCGGTAAATAAACACACGTAAAGATGGTAATTGATGAGATCTAAGGAACCCTAAAGAATTAATTTGATTAATTATATATCAAATCAATAATGGATAAAAATAAATTGGAACTTATTAATCCAGGCCTTCCATTAAAAGTAGACGACATAAGATGCTAAGATGCTTTATCACCGACCATGAGTCGTGGGGTGGTTTTGTGTCGAAAGCTGTGATCCCTACTAAGTATTGTGATACTCGTGAGGTGGATTCCTCTTTATGCTGACCATGAGTCGTGAAACATTCTGGTGGGCCACTATCATGAATGTTTGATGGGTTTGATTTGACACTTAGTAATATAGGTCATAAAATTGAGGTATATAAAGAAAAGCGAGGCAAAACATCTTATAGGATGTATAGTGATACAATTGTCAAAAGTTGACTAATTGTTTCATGAGTACTCATAAAATTGGGATATGAAATAATTTTATTGGACTTCAAGCCCACTATGAAAATTAGATTTTCATAATTAAAATGAGGTTTTAATTAAAATAGTGGGAGACATTTAATGTTAAAGACCTAATATTAAATGAATATAAATTCCATAGTCTGATTATTTTCTGCTTCGTTTGTTTTTGTAGATCACTCTACTAATATGGCTAAGAATCCAATTGCAAGTATCCTTGAACAAAACAAATTAACTGGACCTGAAGTGAATAAGATTCACCCGGGCTCCTTCAACTCGAACCGGCCTCCGTACCTGCAGAACCCAACGCCGGGGGTGGCCCCGGCGTCGGGCTTCCGATGCCTAAGTCAGTGCTCAGATCAAGAGAGAGAAAGTGTAGTAATGCAATGAGTAGAAGATAAGAGAATGAGGTACCTTGGCCCCCTTTTATAGGGGGAGTGTACCTTTTGGGCCCAAGTTGGGCTTAGATGTCTTGGTGGGCT